GAGGAGGGTCCTGGGTCTCAGGTTTCCTTAAGGTGGGATGCAGGCGCGAGCTTGGACTTCTGGTTTTTGACAGCAGTGTCGGGTTCTGATGTGACTGTCCCGGAGCAACCACCATTCCAAGTCCTTCTCTCTCTCTTCTAACAGCAGTCTTATTGCTCAATTGGTCATAACGCTTTAGGAGCGAATTCACTTCTTAGGGGAGTCTCCTTTGCATGGAGAATCCTTGCGAAGCGTGCAGAATGGAAGGAATTGTAATAAAGGCTGTCAATCAGAAAGCAAGTCTATTGTTTTCAGGGGGCTAAGGGTGTGTTGAGTCGTCTTGTGTACAGAATTTTTGAGCCTCTCCGAAGGGCCTTCAGATACTTAAAGTGAATATACTGAATGTAGCTTATTAACGAAGGTTCCAAGAGCCAACCAAAAATGAACTTTAAGGAAGTCCACAGAGAAATTCGGGTGGGACAAGAACAAACGAACAGGCTTTCTTTGTCTCACTGCAAGCTCAGTCATTTAGAGAACCATTCTTTGGGTTTTTGGGTTTTTTTTGTTTGTTTTTTTTCGAGACAGGGTTTCTCTGTGGCTTTGGAGCCTGTCCTGGAAATATCTCTTATAGACCAGGCTGGTCTCGAACTCACAGAGATCCGCCTGCCTCTGCCTCCCAAGTGCTTTGCTAAAGGCGTGCACCACCACAACCCAGCGTTTTCTTTTGTTTTTATGGAGTGTGCTCTAGTGTGAGGTACCATGAGGCTAGCGCGTCTCATATTCTTTCTCAGTTGTATGTCCAGTGTTTAGGAAAATATAGATTGAATAAATATCTGAATGAAAATGTTTAAAATGTTCTCCTATGAAATAATGAAATGGGTTAGTGATACATTTTCTCCAATTTAATGGTTTATAGGCATGTAAAAGCCAAGAGTTGGTGCTTTGGATTATTGTATTTTACTGACAGTGAATTTATTTATATCCTCACATTTCAAGAGGCTCACACAGAACTGTTTAGGACTATTGGACTATATAATTCCAGCTAGAAAACTCAAAATGGCAAGCAGTAGTTGTTAACAGAACAAACTTCTTTATAGAATAGAGAACAGTAAAATTGGAAGAAAGAATCAGGCATGGTGTTGATTTTTGTTGTTGTTGTTGTTTTTGTTTTTCAAGACAAGATTTCTCTGTGTAGCCCTGGCTGGAACTCACTCTGTAGCTGGAACTCGCTAAGTAGACCATACTGGCCTTGAACTCACAGAGACTCGCTTCCTCTGCCTGGCTCTAGTGTTAATGTTTTTAATCCCAGTACTTGGGAAGAAGAGGCAGGTAGATCAAAATTTGTGAGTTTGAGGCCACTGAGGTCTCATAGCAAGTTCCAGGTCAGCCAGGGCTACACAGAGAAACCTGTCTTAAAGAAAAATGTTTTTTCGCCGGGTGTTGGTGGCTTACGCCTTTAATCCCAGCACTTGGAAGGCAGAGGCAGGCAGATTTCTGTGAGTTCGAGGCCAGCCTGGTCTCCAGAGTGAGTGCCAGGATAGGCTCTAAAGCTACACAGAGAAACCTTGTCTCGAAAAAACAAAAACAAACAAACAAACAAAAAAAAGAAAAATGTTTTTTGAAGAAAGAAGCACACATGTCTAGTACTAATCTAATTTAGGAAAATTGTCATTTCTTTATTCACTGTTTTCTATCCTTCATTCTTAGACAAACATTAAGGATCGTAGGAGACTTTTTGGGAGTGATTGAAGTAGGTTGAGAAGAAATTATATTTGAATTTATCTTGGAGTGAAGGTTTGTGGGAGATAAGTACTGAGAGGTTTGCATTACAGTTAGAATTTGGAGTGTAAAGAGGCATGGGAATACTTAAGTTTATCATCTTATCTCCAGAATGCCTATTTGATTGTAGACTTTAAAAGGTGTGAATGGTGCTAATTGAATTACAGTTCAAAAAGCCTACAAAGCAAGAGGCCCTGAAACCAAAGAGACAGGATTTCTCTGTGTAGCCCTGGCTGTCCTAGAACTAGCTCTGTAGACCAGGCTACCCTGGACCTCACAGAGATCCACTGCCTCTGCCTCCCAAGTGCTGGGATTAAAAGAGTTTGACATGAATGCCCGGCCCCAAACAAAATTCTCAATCATTATCAGATGTAGGAAGACTCCAGTTGATTCTTGTTCCTTTATGTTTGTTTGAGACAGGGTTTCTCTGTGTAGCTTTGGAGCCTGTCCTGGAACTTGCTTTGTAGACTAGGCTGGCCTCTGCCTCCCAAGTGCTGGGATTAAAGGAGTTCAACACCACTGCCCAGCTTCCAGTTGATTCTTATTTAGCTTTTTGTGTGAACATAAAAGGTACAAGATTTTTGAGAGGTTACTTCTTTGGGAATATCAAGGAAGACTTCATTAAGGCATTTGGCATGTTAACTTGGTCTTGGCAAATGGTGTTTCATAGTTGTGGGGAAAAGGAGGGCTATTGTAGTCAGTCTTCTGTTAGGTTATGCTCAAAGTAGCTGTGTGTATTGGCACCTGAGAGTCAGTTTTAAAGCCACATCATGGAGCTCCTTAAACATTCAAGAAGAGTATAGATTCTTTGTTGGAACCCTTAGTTTTTGAGCAGGGAAATTATATGTTTAGTAAACTCCACTAGGTAGATTAGTTGGTCAGTCATACTCAGAATAGTTCAGAGAAAATGGGTAGCAAAATCAGGAAAAATAAGTGAGATGCAGTGAAATCTAGTTAGCAGGTAGAATTGACATGTGGAGCATTTGCTTCGATTATTTAATATTTTTTTTCTGATCTTCTATTAGTTTTGAAAGTTGTTTTAATCTTATAGATGTGAAAACTATGGTAAAAGGTTAGGTGGTTTCCTTGAACCGAAGTGGCTGTGCATGCCTGCATTCCTAACATCCAGCAAATTGCAAGCCCAAGGCCACCGGAACTGCATAGGAGACAAACAAGGTGTGTGAGATGAGTAAAGGCGCTTGCTGCCAAGCCTGAGGATTTATTTTATATTTCTGGGACCTACTTGCTCAAAGGATAGGGCTGACTCTAGAGGGTTGTCCTCTGACTTCACATAATAAGCACTGTGGCCCACAGGCCCCCCCCACACCCTAAGTAAATAGGTAAAGATCAAACCAAACAACCATTTAGGCTTTTTTCCTAATAACTATTAGGAGGAAGAAATATACCAGAATACATTTTTCCTGACTGTAAAGTGGCGCTGTTCTGTTATGCAGTGGGACTGTGTAGGAAGAAATAACATGCGAGGCACGTTTATGCAGTAGGGGGCAATACAAGTAAAAGTAAACTAAGGCTAGTTGCTTTGCTTTTAAAGAAATTTGTAATTTGGTAGGGAAGTTTGATTAAACTTTCACAGAGGAATCTGTAAAGGGATGCAGATGGTTCTAGATGAAGGAATCTGTAAAGGGATGCAGATGGTTCTAGATGAATTACAAATGGTACGTGGAATGGACTGGAAAGATAGCTCAGCAGTTAAGAGCATTTGCTGCTCTTGCAGAGGATCCAGGTTCACACAGCGGTCTAACTCCAGTTTCAGGGAATAAGATACCCCCTTCTGACCTCTTTGGGCACCATCACATGTATATATAAAATAAATGTTTAAAAGAAAAAACTTCCTAATTTGTGGTTTCTATTGCTACTTCTTTAAAAATGGGGCTGGAGAGATGGTTCAGTGGTTAAGCACACATACTGCTCTTGCAGAAGACCTGAATTTTGTTCCTAGTTCCCATGCCAGGAGGTACAGAACTGTCTGTAACTCCAGCTCCATGGGATACAACATCATCTCCTTGTAGGTGTAAACACATATGATTAAAAGTAAAATAAATTTTTAAAAAAGTGGGTACTGCTCTTCCACAGGACCCAAGTTAATGTCTGGGTGCCTGTAGTCACCAGCACATAGTCCTCTCAAAGCATACAAGTACGTGTAATTTTAAATAATAAAACTAAGCTGGGTGGTGGTGGTGGTGCCACACCTTTAATCCAAGCACTCGTGAGGCAGAGGCAAGTGGATCTCTGAATTCGAGGTCAGCCTGGTCCACAGAGTTCCAGGACAGCCAGGGCTGCACAGAGAAACCTTGTCTTGAGAACAACCAAATCCTTTGGTCTTTATAGATGTCTCAGTGATTAAGAACAATTGTTGCTCTTGCAGAGGGACCAGAGAAGTTTGGTTCTCAGCACCCACTTCAGGCAGCCCACAACTGCTTGTGACTCTAGCTCAAGGAATTAGATGAATGCCTTCCTCTGGCCCCCATTGGCACTGCACATTTAAATTCCATTATAGAGAAATTAGAAAATAGAGTGTCAAATGACTCAGTGGATAAAAGCACTTACTTGGCAGGCAAGCTTTACTACCCGAGTTCGATCCTGGAACACATGTGAGGGTGGAGGAGCTGACTGCAGAGTTCTTTGACTTCCATATGCATGGCATTTGTGTGCACTAAAACTAAAATGCTTTTAACAAGAA